AGTCATCAAAATACATATTGTTTAACTGGAGAATCATCCCTAACTGTGCCAGACCAGCAAACCTCTGCTGATCTCCATGTGGAAGGCTTTTTGTTCTGCTTGCCATACATCAGGAGAAGGCATCCTTGTTCTTAAAGCTCCCGCCTGCAGTCAGCATCTGAAAGTTCTGACTTACTGTCACCTGCAAAGGGGGGAACTTTTAAAACAAGATGCAACAGAACAAAGACTAGTACACAATATTTATTCAATAATTTAATTGAAACAACAGGGACCCACTACTCAGTCCCTGGAAAGAAAAGGAATCATAGGAAAATGAGGGAAATTTAAATAATTCCCCAAAAAATAAATGAACAAACAAAACATGCACTGCAGAATGAAACAAAATAGTAAATCAAAATAAAAGCAAACATAAGTAATTTCTATAATAAGCAGACAAATGGTAAAAAAGAAAAAAACAAGCACTTGGAACAAATTGTCATTGTCCAATTTCCTCTGCCTTTTAATGGGGCCAGAGGAGTCATGCCCCGCTCGCTCCGCCTGTCCAAGCAGCAACAGGCCCAAACAAAGGCAGGTAAAACAAGACAGCAGAGCCTCTACGGCGCTGCGGCTCCAAGATAACCCCAGGATTAAAAACACAACCTAACCAGGGAGAAAGCGGACCAGTAGGTGAGGTCTAGATGGAAGCCGCACGTCGCAACAACCTCCATCTGCAGCCGCTAACACTGGCAGAGCAATGGATGTCAGATGAGCCGATCAAGCACATTTAGGCAGCTGACATGTAGGTAAAACAAAGACAGATGCAACTTGTAGAGGCCTGCTCAGCTATAACGTCACCTGCCCCGCCCACTTCCTGCTACACCTGGTGCACAGAGTGGGGAGGGTGGAACACCATCCCACCACATTCCCTTCTGGTTCTTATCATGCGCTTTCCATACTAAGGATGTGAACAATGGAAAAGAGAAAATCTTCTGTGCTTGGTGTTTCCTGTCCTCAAACAATGTGAGAAGTGGGCAAAGGCTCATCACCCTTTACGAAGTATCTTGTTAGATGGGGCGGGGGAAGGGTTGCCGAAGTAGAGCAGCACTGTGGGGTAAAACATCACCCTCTATGCCAGTGAACATTGTTAAGGTAAAATATGGCCATTGGTCCTCAATGTCAAAAATTATTATGATGGTTTATGGCCCAACACAGGGAAACACAGACTTTAGACTCCCTCCATCCTATTGGTTCAGGTCTGAAGACCGGCTAGGCCACTTTAGGACAGGGGGGGCTGTGAAAATGTTTTTGTTTTGGATAAAATACCTATGAGCCTACAGGCCTAATTAAAACACAATAAAAATAAATATTTAAAGTCATTTAAAAATAAAATCATTGTGGCTTAAACATGTATATAAATGTACTTTTTATCAGACCATATTGTTCAAAAAGTCCTATAATTTTTTTTTTCCATTATCTTCTGCAGGCCAGTTAGTTCTACGTCAGCCTTAACACCAAAGTTCGGCCAATCATATATCAACGGTCATCTGTCAATCAAATTCTTTCGGTCATAGCATCTTGATTCATATGTCGCAGCTAATATACTCAACGGTTGAAACCAGAATCCTTTCCTTTCCCA